GCCAACCCAAAAGTAGTCATTCGAATCCACCAACTGCTCCTCAGAAGAAACATGGGCAAACTCTTCTCTGGGGATTTACAGCCTTAGAAAATCCGCTGGACGGTCAGCTGTGAGTCAGTTCCGACTGGAGGGCACACAATAAAAGCAACAATAACAAAATAGGGGAAACCTTGGGAATCTTCTGCTCACTCAAAGGTAGCCAGCTTCTGCCTCAGATGTTACTTCAATGCTTCTTTTCATGTTTCACTTCTTAACTACTTGTATCTGCTCTTTTGTTGCTTTCCACCAGTACAGCCCAGAAAGAGCGTTCGTCGTCTCCTTTACCAACCATTACCTTTTTTATGATTTAGAAATGTATTTCCCCAGAGCATATTCAATAATCTTTCCCACTGATCTACTGGTGGTGGTTGTTCCCCCACCCCAAGTCTTTCCCCCCATTTAAAAAAACTTTTTTCCGGTGCATCTTAATTTTTTTAAAAAACATTGTTGCACATTTTCCTCCCCCACCTCTTCCAGCCCACCCCACAATGCATCCTTTGTTCCGGATTATTGTCACCATATATCAGCAAATCTTTTAACAGTCAAATCATGAAATCTGATCAAATAAACAAGTACTATTCATACAGCATCCTCATCTTCAGGCCTTTGTAATATTTTTCATTTCCTAAAACCTTGTTCCAGTTGGGCTAAAACTCATTCATCCTTCAGACCCCAAATTAGGAAGCCCATCTTCTGAGAAGCCTTCTGTACCATGCTCTCCCATCTCACGCTGTATACACCCTAGCCATGTACTTAGTAAAACTTTGTTATTGTTATATGTGCCATTGAATTGACTGTGATTGATGTACAGCGACTCTGAAACCTGCCCTATCCTGAACCAGTCTCACTGTCTCTGACACAGCTGCCCCCATTACCCCAGTACTGTGTCATCCAGAGTTTTCCTCTCCTGTGCTGACCCTCTGCCCTACCAAGCATGATGCTCTTCTCCAAGGACTGGTTCCTGCTGGCAGCATGCCCAAAGTATGTGAGATGGAGCCACAAAATCCCTGCCTCCACTTGCAGCTTGTTTTCACCCTCTTCAGGACAGGTCTGTTTGTTCTCCTGGTGATCCATGGTATGTTCAAGACTTCTCCAGCACCACATCTCAAAGATATGGATTCTTCTTCTGCCATCCTTAGTCATTGTCGAAATCCCTGATGCATAGCAAGTAATCATCATGGCCTGGATCAGATGCACCTTAGTCTATAGGCTGATATTGGTGCTTTTTAGCACTCTGGAGAGGTTCTTGGCAGCAGACCTTGTTAACACAATTCATCTTTTGGTTTTCTGACTGCTGGAGCCAAGAGTGTTGATTGTATAGCCAAGCAAGCTGAAATTATTAACAATCTCAATCTCTTCTCCATCTATCTTGATGCTGCCAGTTGGCCCAGTGGTGAGAATCTTTGTCTTCTTGATGTTGAGCTTCAGTCTGTATTGAAGACTGCAGTTCTTGGCTCTCTGCAGCAAATTCCTTAGGTCCTCCTTAGTTTCAGCAAGCAAGATTGTGTCATCTGCATAACGTGGGTGGTTGGGTTTTTTTTATAAAGTAGGTTTTGATGAGTCTTCCTCTAGTCTTGATGCTACACTCCTCATAAAACCCCATTTACTTATTTGTCTTCTGCCCACTGACTCCCTCAATGCAGGGACCATGTCTGTCTCATTGCCCATATTGTCTCTAGTGTCTGGCATGTAAGAATACATGCCTGTTGGTTATGAATGAATCAGAATACCAAATGGACTTAAATAGAAAAGAAACGAGTTACTACTCTGTATTCTGGATTATGGACAGAAGGCCCTTTTGAAATAAAATGCATTACAACAACCACAACAAAATCTGCTTTAGAAGAGTCACTCCTGTGCTTCTGAATATAAGCATTATTTTAAAATATATAATTGAATAAGATCACAAACTTGTGGGAAAGCTGAGGCAGGAGACATGGGTGTTAGCCCCAGCTTTGCTGTGTTGGCCAAATCTCTGAGCCACAGCAGCCTCAGCTACGGAAGGAGAGTAGTCACAGGACTGTGTAGGATCATATGCGACACAGTGTGTGAAATGTTAGCAGCGACACAGGATACATAGAAGGGACATCGGTGAGGATTATTCCAGGGCAACAACAGGACTGAGAGGCTCTCTGGAATATTTTGACCTGGAAATATTGCTTATACCAAGGATGTGGGATTTTTATAAGAAAGGAAACTTAGTGGATATGCAGGTTAAAAGGGATTTTTTGGTGCTGAGGATGAGGCTAAGGAAAAAGGAATGGGAGAAAAGAACCAGGGGGAGAGGGAGTTTCTGAAAAAAAAAAAAAAATCTGTGACATTTTAGAATGGACAGTGGAGCAACTTGAGCTAATCCATAAACCAGGAGGGGCAGCAGATGGCTTGTAGTGTGAATCTTCTGGTAGATTCCAGAGTATCACTTAGGATGTTACCAAACAAAATGACAAATGCAAAACTAAATACACACACATATGTCAGATTTAGACTTTAAGATTGTTCTATTTACATTCATTTAAGCCACCACTTGGTCAAATATTTGGTCAAAATACTTGCATGTTGGTATATAGCTACACCTTCTAGGTACAGCTCCAGTGTATGAAGGAGTCTGAGGATAACAGCCTTAACTTAATATGACCATTGGTAGGATAAAAATTTTGCAGTGAGAAACAATCTGGTCTAATGGCAAAGTAAGCCCTGCACACCAAAACATCTGAGACTGTGACTTTTTTGCTTGATTGGAGGGCACAAAATCTCCACAAAGTTAAAACTCGGCTTAGAAATCAATATTTCTTGGAAAGCAATGTTTTTTGGTTTTTTAAATTTTTAAAAATTTTTTTTAATTACTTTTAATTAAAGTTTACAGAGACTTAGGGTTTCCAGTCATTCATTGTTGCACTTTTCTCTCTACTCATCCTCTCTCCCAATTCATTCTTCTCCTTGAAAAGAAAGAAAAACTCTTTCATTGTTATTCAATCCCTCCTCTCTCAAGTCCACTCCACTATGCAGCATTCACTCTGGACTTCTGTAATGACAAGTATCCCCATTCATATATCCCTTTTATTTATTTTTTTTAAAAGTTTATTATTAATTTCAATGAAAATTTACAGACACTTTGGATTTCCATTTATTCATTGTTGTACTTTTCTCCCCTCCCAACCCTCCCCCCTGGTACACTACCTTCTTGGAAAAGTGTAAGAAAAATTCTTTCATTGTTTTACAATCCCTGCCCCCCAGGTCCACTCCACTATACAACCTTCGCTCTGGACTCCTGTCATGACAAAAATACCTAATAACATATCCCTCTTAAACAGTTTTCTCCCTCATCTGTTTCAGTATACATTATTGAACCCATCTTTCTTAGTCTCTCCCCAACCACAATGTCAGTCCTGTTTTACAACAGTGGCACCATGCAGTATTTGTCCTTTTGTGACTCAGATACTTCACTCAGCATAATGTCCTCCAGGGTCACCCATTTTGTTTTGTTTTCTCTTGTTGAATACCGTCAAGTCACATCCAACTAGAACAGGAGGAGACTGCCCCTCCCTCTCCAGAGGAGCATCTGGTGGACTCAAACTGTGTGCCTTATGGATTGCAGCACAGCTTCTTGCCACTAGGCCACCAGAGCACCTTCAGGGCCACCCATTTTGAATAATATTGCATGAGTTCCTTGTTTTTTAATGCAGCATAGTATTCCATTGTGCGAATATACCACAGCTTCTCTATCCATTCATTCGTTGATGGGCACTTGGGTTGTTTCCGACTCCTTGCTGTTGTGAACAAAGCCTCGATGAACATGGGTGTGCAGGCTTTTCCTCTCTTTAGCAGCCCGCCCCTCTACTTTTCCAAGTACAATGCTCCTTTTCCAAGGACAGGCTTCTCCTGACAGCAGGCCTACAGAAGGTGGGGTAAATTCTCACCCTCCTTGCCTCTTTGGAGCACCCTGGATGTACTTCTGCCAGGACAGATCTGTGTATTCTTTTGGCAGTCCGTGGGATAGGCAACCTTCTTCAATACCTTGAT